TCTTACTGTGTGTACTGTAGTATTTTCAGGCTATGGCTAACTAGGATGACTGAGAATGTAGGATGCAAACCATAGCTAAGGGGGACATCTGTCCTGAGAAGTAGAGACAGCACCAGAATGAAAGTATGTCCTTCAGAGCTGGGGGAATGGGGGTGAATTCCTGGTCTGCTGTGTGACCCCAGCCAAGTGCCTGACTACTCTGAGCTTAATTCCACATCAATTTTGAGGCTCTGCCTCACAGGATTGTAGTGAGGAAGAAATGGGACGTTGCGTGTGCAAACACAGAGCAGGTGCTACACCTCAGATCCACCGCTGCACTTAAAAAACAGCAGTGGCAATCTTAAAAAAAAAAAAAAAAAAACAGCAGTGGCAATCTTAAAAAAAAAAAAAAAAACAGCAGTGGCCCGTCACTTTTCCTGGATCACAGGTCCCATAAAGAATCTAAAACTTAAACAAAATCTTGAGATCCTCCAGGAGAAAGGAATCTGCAGTTACATGACATGCTGTCACTCATTTCACAGTGTCTGCAGAGTCTCTGACAACAAAGACCCCCATTAAGAAGCACCAAACAGGCCCTCCCTGGTGGCGCAGTGGGTTAAAGCACAGCACTAAGAGGCTAAAGCCACTTCTGCATGAGTTCGATCCCCGCCTTCCCCGGAGGTGACCACATGGTGTGGCAGACCTCTCCTGACCCGCCCGCTGCTCCCCTCAACAGTGTACTTCGTCGATCTGCCTGTTCTGCTCCCCGCTCTGTGTCTGGTGAATCCTCTCACCCTCTGCATCTCTGGCCTGTACCCCAGTTCTGTATGAATAAATAAATAAATCTTAAAAAAAAAAAGCACCAAACAACTACAAACATCTCTTCTACATGTGAGCCGAGCCGGGAGAGCCAGGGACCCCCCACAGCAAAGCGGGAACAGGTGTCCTGGGTCCCAACCCAGCCCTCTTTCACAAAGACAAGCTACCTTTATTTATAAGCTAAAATTACACCGTAGCACTCAGGCCTGGCTACCACAAACATGCCTTTGTACAGTGTTTCTCTTAAAACTCCTCTTATGACAACAATGTGTTCTGTTAAAGTGGTAAGAGAGGAAGTCAAAAAAAAAAAAAAGCACAAAGACAGAAACATACCTACGAGGGTTACAATTCAGTCTCCCAAAACAACTGTGTTTGTTTCTCCTTTACAAGAACCCAGGGTGTTTACTCCAGGCCAATCTTACAGTCAGAAGTAAATCTGACTTTACAACTGTATCATGACCAATTCAGGATCATCAACAGCTGGGACGATGAGATGAAAGGCTGATGGATAACTTCATAGAGGCAGGATCAGGCAGCCCCACACAAACCCAGGCTTAGGCTCAGCACCCACCCCAGGAGAGGGTCACCCAGCCTTCCTGAGAATGGGAAGACTCAAGATGCACTTGGGGTCGGGATGGAGAAAGGAGCCAGAAAGTGATCCAGCTCCTAGCTCTTCCTGCCACCCCATAGCCAGAAGCACTGGTCTCTTTAAGGAGGAAGAGCCCCAGAAAGTGGGAAGAAGCAGGTCTGCTGAGGATGAAAATCCAATGAAGAAATACAACAGCCCTATGCAAGGCAACCATGTTTGGATCTCAACACAAATATTTTGTAAACCATCAGGAACATTGCCTAGGAACCTAGTATTAAGCAATATCAAAGAACTGTCATTTTGTTAGGGGTGACACTGTGGTTATGTAAGAAACTGTGCATTATTCTTATTCACACACATGGAAATATGTGGTGTAAAGTCGCATAAAGTCTACAATTTGCTTCAAAATACTAAGCAACAGCAACAACAAAAATGAACGAAGCCAGAGACCCCGCGAGCACATTAAATCTGGATGTTGGCAATGGTAGTGACAGGCACATCGACTCATGTTCTCTGCTGTGTAGTTTTGAAAATTTCCATGGCTTAAAAATACAACTATCTTTTAAAGTCCTGTACGGAATAAAATGCAAAAAAAGGAGATAAAAACGAAAGCAGAACTGTCTATGCTCTCCCGTGTTCCATACATAAGAGCACGTTCTCGATGAAATCTCCACGTCGGAAAGAGCCCAAAGGGGGCATCTAGTTCAGGGATCCGCCAATCTGACTGGAGTCAGAAATAACTAGGCAGCTTATCAGAACTCCCAATCTTCCCCAACCCACCTCCAAGCTGCGGAATCCAAATCTCCAGGGGCAAAAAATGGTAATTGTTTTTAAGCGCCACAGGTGACACTGATGTCATCAATCTAGTGCGCTGTCTCCGGGCATCCCGGCCAAACAGGTGTCAGCAGGGAAGGCGGATCAGAGCGCCCTGCCTTCTCACGGTGTGTCAAGCTCCAAACCCGGCTTGACGCTTTTAAAAGCAAACCAAGTGGAATGGCGGATCCTGTGGGTGCAGCTTGTGAGGCCACCACCTCTCCTGCTAACATTCCTCAAACATTCGGTGCATTTAGCCCTTGTGATGAGCCAAAACCTCAGTGTGGGAGCTATGGCAAGTAAAATCCCCTGGGAAAAAACAAATGTAGAGCCCAAGGGACTTTCACTGGGCACACTGTGGGGGGGGCGGGGGTGCTTTCCCCTTTACTCAGCTAGCCTACCAGAAAACCCCAAATGCATGGGCCAAGTTCACTGTCCTGGGAGAACCTGGGAGCACCCAGAAGTACCTGGAGCATCCGGGAGTGTCTGGGATCACCTGAGAGTACATGAGAGTTTCTGGGATCACCTGGGAGCACCTGTGAGCACTCAGAATCACCAAGAGTCCCTGGGAGCACCTAGCAGCATCACCTGCAAGCACTCGAGAGTCCCTGGGGGTATCTAGGAGGGCCTGGAAGTACCTGGGAGTCTACCCCTCTCAGAGCAGACACCTGCTGGCTCTAGAGTAACACAAGGAGAGAAGAAAATGAGGAAACGCTCCCTCTGCTTGGCTCTCACAGCATCACAAACTCTGGGAACAAATTCCCAACCACAAAGCTGACTGGCACTTGGTCAGAAACATGCCAATACAGGTCAGTTTGGCGAAGAAGCAGGAAAAACGTTTCACAAGATTAACAATCTCAAGTGAAAACCACTCCCTTTCAGCCAGCGATAGCTGTGGAATGACAGCCTTCAACCCTGGAAAACATGATGGGGGGGTCAAAGGGGAGTCGGTGCTTGTGCCAGAGGGCACTGCGAAACCCACTTGTCACTGCCAGGCTGCCAGCTAACCCGCCCCGGGCTCTCACACGCCACGCAACGGGGCTGGCTGACATTCTGAGTGCACCTTCACTAAATCCCTCTCCGGCGAGCACAGACATGCGGCGACTTGCTGGCCATACACCCCCACTGAAAGCCCTGTGCTTGGCTTTACCAGCAACATGTGATTTGGGGCAACTCTGAACAGCACTTTCTCCTCGACTTCCTAACCCTGGAATTGCTTTCTAAGACTGCCTTTCTTGCCACAAGGACCTACCTACACAGAGGCTTTTAATACCACAGACTTGGTTCTTGACAGGGAAGCAACCAATTTTCCCCGAGTTCAAAGAATGATCTTACAACAGTCAACACAGCCAGGTTCAGAGGTCAGTCAGCAAATGCTGATACTGAGATGCGGTGGGGGAGAGAGGAGACCCGGGGAAAGCAAGGGCTCCTCAGCTTTGCAGTCACAGTCACAGAAATGCCCCTCCAGGATTAAAGGCAGCGCCCTTCAAATGTTACAGCCGCATAAAAGTAAGGGCCCGGGGAAGGAGGGCCCCTTGTGAATAGTCACTTCTGCACACTGGCTCCAGGTAGCCTGTGTAGCAGCGATCAACAGCAAAGCTCTCCAGGGTCCACATCTTTCTTTTTCCCAGGCAACACCCCTCTTCAAACCCCACAGTTCGCTCCCCATTGTGATCATAAGCTCAGGGGAACAGCATCTGCAGACAAACGTGCCCATGGCAGCAAAGAGAAATATGTCTCTGCCACTTCCATGCCAAGACAAGCAGAATTCTCTTGGACTCAAGATTCTACTGAAAACCGAAACATTTTAGAAAGAAACGAAAATCCCCCGACCTACATGGCCACTGATCCCACATAATAGGGGTCCAGAGCCCAAACCTGAACTTCAAAAAGGTGACCTGCAGCTGCACACAGCAGCGCTGTTGCCACGAAAAACAAAGCTGGGAGGCTCGGCTGCATGAAAACTTTATGACAGGAACATTCGGGGTGATTTATGTCAACTGGGGGCTGCCTTGATTTTCCAGAACTCAAAGTTTGATTGCGACTCTGTTGTCCAGCTCCAACAGCTAATTTTATTTCCACGGCACCTACTCAGATCCTCAAAAGATTCAGCAAATTATTCAAGCCATCTTCCATCTCCCTTCGGCAGACTGTGAAGCTTAAACTAGAAACGTTCCAGTCAAAATTCCACCTCTTAACAGTCAGCCTCAAACAGGAAACTTGCCCTGAGCCAATTTTCATCCTCAGGGAGTTTCCAACTTGCCAGATACTTAAAGCCCAGACACCTGATTTCAAGAAAGTTACCTGGACGATTCGTCTGGTCTTAGAGTAGATGAGCACGACCTGTCACCTCCCAATGCCCAAGAATGTCAACTTACTCCAGAATTCTCAAGCAACATTCAAAATAAATGTCATTTTTTGGCAAACATTTGATGGCAATTTTCCTAAAATAAACGCATATATTTTTATATTTAACGGCTACCCTTGACAGCCTTTGTTTAAACTAACACCAAAGTGACCCAACCACTGGGAGGGATGACACTAGCAGCCAATCACGGGAGCGCAGGCTCATGGGGTACCACTGGGGGCCCCTCTTTGCAGCCCAAACACCAAAACACAATATTTACCTAATACAAGCTTAGCGGGAAGGAAGTTTTTTACAACTGGACAAATGAATGAAATAAAATTAGCCACTAATAACTGCACCTTCAAGTGTGACAAATGTACATCCCTTAACATTTTTTAATGAAGGAAACTGACAAATTTAACAGAAAAGCTTGAGCACCAGACACGGGCTTACCTGACTCCTCTCTTTGTCCACCTTCTTAAAACACTTATTCAAAGACAAATTATGTCTCACTGAGTTTTTCCACCCAGTAGGTGCATTTGCAAAATACGGAAAATGTTCCAAGATCCAGTTGTAGATATCCTTTACCGGCAGGCGCTTGGATGGAGAGTCCTCAATGGCCATAAATATGAGGCAGCTAAAAGAGTAGGGGGGTTTGCAGTTGGGGTTCTGCCTGGCATCGTAGGGCATGTCAGAGTGGGCGGGGGACGGGGGGGTGTCATCGTCCAGGTCCTGCACAGGACTCACGCTCCTCAGGACCGACTCCCCGAAGCTCTTCAGCAAGTTCTTACTCTCGTGCAGCCAGTTCAGGTTGGTCAGCTCTTCATCTTCCATGGCCCCCTCTTCTAATCGGATGTCAGGCAGAGAAAAGTCGAGGTCATCATCTTCCTGAAGGGCCTTGGAGAAACTGCTGCTCCGGTAACACTGACTCAACCCACTGGAGACACTAATTCCTGAGCTTTCTGGCTTCTTACTGGGAGGCATGACTGGACCCATTTACGTGAAGGCTCCTGGGAAACAGTACAGAGAAAAGATGAGTTGGGCAAACTGAATGGAAAGGCAGCTGTGGCCTCCTCATTCTCTAGCCTCCCCCACCACACAGGAACCCCATCTCAGGGCAGCCACACTGAGCAACACCAACCCACAACCCCACGACACAGAGATGTACCTAAATCACTCACGCTGGTCCCCAGGCTTATAGCCCCAGTGACCTGTCATGCCCCCTTGAACCCCGAAAAACTGGAAATAGACCTGCACCTATAATGTGCAAACACATCATCAAGAGGACTGGCAATTCCAGCAGGTGTCTTCCTGGTGGAAAGGAAAGTTGGTGACTTTGGAAAGTCCACTTTTTCTTGTATCTCGGTTTCTCTACAATACACATACATACACACATTTAAATTCATAAGCCTCCTGATCAACACAACAGAATAAGCACAATGCAGAGCGCCTGCCCTGTTACAGGTCTCACTGTTTGCCCTTCTCAAAAAAATAAACTTGTAAGTCTAATGCCAGTTGTTTCCGATTAAGCTGAGCTGTTTCCGAAACAAAAATGTCAGTTCTGACTCGGAATTAAAACTGTGGCCACAGTGAGCATCGACTTGGTTTCAGTGTTTGTTCAGTGTTTTCTTTGATTTTTTTCTCCTCCAAAAGTCAGAACTGAAAACTACAACATAATTACCACTGGCCAGTCAAAAAAGAGCAAACAAGACCCTATGTGGATTTACCTGGGAAAAGGAGTATGTTTAATTTGACTGAGTCCCTACATCCCAGACCAAATGGTAAGTAAGTTCAAGAAACACATGAATAAGTGGGAATGCAAAGACAAGCTACCAACTGAAGGTGGAGTTAATGGAAAGAGTCGGGTGAGACTGGGCAACTTCAGGAAGAAAGGCAACAAAATTCAACAAAAATTGCTACAGATTTCTGTTCTGTCAGGCCCCCTCTCCATCTCCAACCCATTTTATCAATGACCTAGTACAGGGAGTAAAACATCTGATGAGAAAAGAAAGAAGAAGGTGGCAAGTCCATAAACAAAATGACAGAGAAAGATAAAAAGCACATTCACCCTCTGGATATCCATGCAAGCCAGAAAGAACAATGAAGATAATCAAAGTCTCCCAACTCTGTCTGCAGAGCTCAAACAATGTGCTTCATTTCAGAAGTGAGCATCTATTTGTTTTCTCCACCTTGAATAAGATCAAGCACTGTGGGGGGAGGGGGGAAAGAGTGAACACATGGAAGGCAAAGATGTGATCATTCTAAAGCTCAAAATGTCCATTTACACGTTTACCTAAAGTAACTGCTACTTCAGCCAGGGAAGCTCTAGAATGAGATTCTAGAAAGCATAATGTGGGCACTCACAAGCCAATCTAAGGTTCTGGGGAAAGGCAATGTTCTCTCTCCCTCTTCCAAAAGGGAGGCAGACAGAGATCTGTCTAGAACTGCAGTGAGAAGCGCAGGGCCAAGGAGAGAAAACTTCGCCAGGCATCTGGGTCCCCCAAAGGCAGAGCAGTTCAGATACTGGCAGTTCAGATACCTGCGGTTATTTCTTTCTGTCTTTTAAAGAATAAGCCAGTGCCCTTAGGTTGCAGATATGACAGAGACCAGCCTGGTGCTACTTTTACCTTCTTGACAGACAGTTCAAAGACCCATCTCCACAAAGTTCCCTCTGATCCCAACACAAAACCTAATTTTCTGATAACCAGGAATATTCGAATATCACAGCACAAAAGAGAACAACTACCCAGCCACCGGAGTCAACTTCAGCTCCAGATGAAAGTTTTATGTCTCCTGAGCTTCCAAACAGGAAAATTATATCATGGCTGACAGTAAAGTAATTTAATTGCACTGTTGCTATGACAACATGCTGCTCTCTTCTTTTTAATTTGCTTATTTGTCAGTAGCTTCCCAAAGGAACTAACACGCTATTCTCCATGTTTTCTTTTGTTTTAAACAAACATTGCCAGCAATATGGTTTTATTTAAAAAAAAAAAAAAAGCACTGTCAAGGAGAGAGGGTTAGGGAGGTTCAGCACCCTTGAATTATTTGTCTGCTTTGTGGCTTTGTGTCCTCCCCTTTGCCCTCCCACTGTTAACAGCATCCTATAAACCACATTTTATAGTAACAGTATCAAAAGCGGCAGATCACCGCAGTCCCAGGTTCAAAAACAGTTCCCAGAAACCACCGCCGAGGAGTTTTCCATTATTATACTCTTAACTCCATAATTCGCCAAATCTTTTTTCCTCCTATTTTAGATGGAGGAGAAAGAATCTGAGCATATGATATGAGTCTGCAGTTGAGCAAACATTTTGAATCTGCTGCGAAAAAGGCTGATCTAGACAATCAGTTGTGACCATACAACTTTTCGGTGTGTACCGGCCATGCTTCCTCCCACCCCAAACCACCTCTGCCGCCGCCCGGGCCGCCCCCATACACACCCTCTTTTTGTTTTGTTTCGACTTGCTATGTTTTGATGTCTTGTGTGCTTTTTAACGGAGACCATTTAGCAGCAAAGCTAGTTTCTCGCCCGCTACCAGGTCTCCAATAACTGACAAAGACGTTACTGGCCCAGCTCTGAACAGATGTTCAGTGTGAACTTTAAAAAGTTGAGAAATCCTCCCCAGGCGGAGCAAGGCAGTGGCGAGTCTGGGGGTGGGGGGGGGCAGCTTACCCCCCTCTTCGCGCGCGCGCACACACACGCACGCGCTCCACTCAGGTCTACTGTACTTGTCAAAAACATTTCAAGGGGACCTGCGGGAGCGGCGATTGGCTGCATCCCACGTCAATCAGCAGCGTTGCCAGGCAACGGGGAAACTGCTCTTCTCCCGTATACAGGGCAATTGGGAGCTCGCATACCTTCACTGCCGGTCAGATGTCATAAACCTTTTATTGGCCGCACAGCGGCGAGCCTTAAAAACACATCAATAAAAGCCCTCCGTCCCCCAACTTCTCCAGGGCCCAAGGAGGGTTTCAAAGAGGGCTGGGTGAAGAGGGGTCGGGCCTCTGGAGACGCTCACTTCGGGTGCCAAGCCTGCAGTTTGGGGTGGGGGGATCTTTGTTAGGAGACCGCATCCCATCTCGGGGTCTCCCCTCGATCGGTACCCCCTCCCTCGGCCCGCAACCGCGGGGATCCAGTGCTTCTCGGACAATACCAACTCTGTTCCTTACGGGCGTCTTTTCGGAAATCGAGGCACCGGGAAAACAGCCGGCACGTCGGGACAGGAAACTCTTCGGACCAGGCAACTTCCCAGCTTGGGGGCTCCCGCCTCTCCGCCCCGCCGTCTCCCCCCACTCAGCACCCTCCCCCCAGGAACTGCGGAGTCCCTCCTCAGCCCCGAGCGGCGAGAGCGCCTCCAGGACGGCTTAGAACGAGTGCCCCCGCCCCGAGTCACCCCAATTCCACTCAGGCGCCGGCGGAAGAGGGGAGCAAACTCACCTGGCCGGAGCGGGGCGCGGGGGCGCCGCTGCCCTTCAGCGGGAGCCACAAACTTTCGCGGGCGCCCAGCGGGCATCGCCTGGTGGCCCGGCTAAGGACGCGCGGGCGCGGCGCGGCAAG